GGAACCAAAAATGGCGTAGCCAAAGATCTCATAAAATTGATAAGCGATGGAGTCTAGTAGTATACTCGATTCTCTTGGAGTTGAGATAATCGGCGTAATGGCTCCAGTCTCCATCTGCATGTTCCTCGTCGTTCTTCTCACCTACTCTCTCTCTGTAACCTCTGACACTCAGATCCGTACTGCCGCTAATCTCATCTATATCGAGAATCCCTCTGATTCCGCCACCGTCAAGCTCGAAGGTAGCCTCGAAAACGCCATCGTCTTCGTCGTCCTCGTTGCAGCCGTCACTTTCATCCTTGTACTCCTCTTCTACTACAACTTCACCAATTTCCTCAAGCATTACATGCGTTTCTCCGCTTTCTTCGTCTTGGGTAACCACAATTCTTCACTTCTTCTTAGGGTTTGTGCTCGATTTTTCGCTTCGTTGAATGTTGATAAATTTTGTGCTTGATTTTTGTTTCTTAGGTACAATGGGAGGCGCAATTTTCTTGTCGATTATCCAGCATTTCTCAGTCCCTGTTGATTCCATCACCTGTTTCATATTGCTTTTCAATTTCACGATTCTGGGTACTTTATCTGTGTTTTCTGGTGGTATGCCGATTTTGCTGAGACAGTGTTATATGGTTGTTATGGGGATAGTTGTTGCAGCTTGGTTCACTAAATTGCCTGAATGGACTACATGGTTTATCTTGGTGGCTCTAGCTTTGTATGATTTGGTTGCTGTTTTGGCTCCTGGTGGTCCACTTAAGCTCTTGGTCGAGCTTGCTTCGACCCGCGATGAAGAACTTCCTGCCATGGTTTATGAAGCTAGACCGACTGTCTCAAGCTACCAAGGGAGAAACCGTGGCTCGAGTTTAAGGGCTTTAGTTGGTGGTGGTGGTGGGGTTTCAGATTCTGGTTCAGTAGAGCTGCAAGCAGTTCGGAATCATGATGCAAATCAACACGGAAGGGAAAACCCTCATAACTTGGATTATAATGCTGTTGCAGTGAGGGATATAGACAATGTAGATGGTAATGCTAACGGAAACAGAGATAGTGTTGATAGGTCACCTCTGGTTGGAAATCCCAGGGAAGGACACTTTGCATCTTCCATATCCTCTGAGCATTCAACCGCAGTTGGAATAAGAGAAAGCAGAGAAACTGTTGCAGATGAAGAAATGTCTCCTCTGGTTGAGTTGATGGGCTGGGGAGATATCGAGGAAGAACCAAGAGGTTTTGAGGAATCGGATAACGTCGAGAATTTAAAGAGAGGCATCAAACTAGGTCTTGGAGACTTTATATTCTACAGTGTTCTTGTTGGTAGGGCAGCAATGTATGATCTGATGACAGTATATGCCTGTTACCTTGCGATCATCTCGGGACTTGGGTGCACTCTTATTTTGTTGTCCGTGTACAACCGAGCTCTGCCAGCTCTTCCCATATCCATCATGTTGGGTGTTGTCTTCTACTTCTTGACGCGGTTACTGATGGAGCCGTTTGTTGTCGGGATGACAACAAACTTGATGATGTTCTGATTTACCCAAAATTCTAGTAGGAAAAGTAAATGATAGTGTTGTGAACATGATGTTCTGATTTATCCATGTCTTGCACCTTTTGCTGTTTCAAATGAAGCAAATATGTTTTAGTTCTGAGTAATACTATGAGGGGAAACTGCTATGGAATTGTAACCCAACAGGTAATTGATTTGGGTTTCTAAACGTATGAAGATTGTTTTAGTAGCAGGTTTGATTGAATACTTTAGGATTGATCTGTGGTTTAGGGTTTGAGTTGGCTCTGGTTTAATCCATTTTAATGTTTTGATCGATAAGTGCAACCATTTATGAGAAATCTTGAAAGAAGAAACATTAATATATGTTTTTTTTTGGTCGAAGAAACATTAATATATGTAATGTATGAAATAAATACATCTCTAAGTTACTTATTTAATTTGGATAAAATAGTAGTATTTTCTACAACCACATGTTTTTAGCTATTTTGATTTTGTTCTTGTT